AGGGAAAGAAAGATAAGAAGCAGGCTGTTGAATCCTGAGTTGTTCGTGAATCAAATCCAAGGAATAGAGTGTAAGGAGAGATAAAGAGAGAAACAAAAAGAGAGTGAACAGTAATTTGTCGTGATCGATCATGTCTTGTTCATAAAATGATTCTTCTATTTATAGACGAGATGATATATGATGATGACATTACATTTTTGCCTTAGCTTTAAAGGACTCTTTACTGGGTTATGGTGTTTTGCATGCTTTAGCATGTACTACTTTTTGACTTGGCCTACTGACCTTAGTCAAATTTGGGTAGCAGGATCAGCTTGGTTGGTTGAATTTGGTCGGTATGGGTCGGTCGATTGAGTAGGCCTGGTGTTGACCCAATTTTTGATGAAGAACTTCCCTCAGATGACCGAAGATGTTGTATCATCAGATCTTTCCTTAAATCGATTTCTCAGGAGGGTTAGCTTTTACACAAGCCTGCTTTCTTGTAACGGTCAGCTTGGATGTTCTTTCTCCTTGCATCTGGTCAACTATCGGTTTAGGCTTGGGTTGTGCAGTCATTTTTTTGTCTGTCTTGTGGCTCAGTTGGTTTTGACCTTGTTAGGCCAACTCAAATAATTTCACTGTGTTAGACAAGTAAGCTTCACGATCTGGCAGTGGCCTCACCTTCGCCTTACTATTCCCTTTTGGACCATAGATTTTTTTAGGATCTGTGCTGGGATATTTTTGATATACATATTTTAGTTTCCTAATCCTTTTATTTCTTGAAATTGACATTGCAATAAAAGTAAGAGAATTTATTGCAACAATATGTCACATTTATTATTAATTAATGGTTCAATGATTAAACTATCTTAATTTCCATATTTTTATTCTTATAAATAAGACGCGATGAGACTCCTTCCCATTCCTTTTTTGCTTCACAACTCTTCTTGTTTATATCGGTCGCTTTCTGGGTGTTGTGATGAAGAACATATCAAATCCTTCGAGTGATATCTTTAACAAAGATCTGTGTTATTTTTTCTTCGGAACATTGAAAAGATGGGACCGCCCGGGAGGTCGTTAAGGAGAGAAAAAGCAGTTGCACACGCAATGGCAAATCAAGCGAGATTGTTTGATTTGTTCCTCGGTAATAATTGAAGGAATGTTCAACCGATCGATCAGGCCATTGATCCGACCACCCGACCTTCTGCTACGGTGCAAGGCCTGCCGATTGAACAATCTGTGCAAGTGGCCATTGATGCTCTCCTGTTGCACAGTGAGTTTGCTGTGTCGATTACAACATTTAAGTTGGATCAACTTCTGGGTATGAGGAGCCTTGGTATTATCTGGCTGGATTTTAACTTTTTTCGAATTCTTTTTGCTTTACATTGTGCTTGGTGCATATGACTCGGTTTTGAGAGACCTGGGTGAGGATGCAGCTCTAGATGATATCGATGAGAATTCAATCGAGGTGTTTGTGATAAAGGAATAAGCACCAGGTGAGGGCAAACGACTCTCGAGTGAGGATGGTGGAATTGATTGCCCTGATCTCTCCCTTAAAAGCCATGGAGAAGCAGTTGAACAAATTAGGATGTCCTCTGGGTCGCTTGACCATCATCTGGGTGAAATTGAGAATACCTTTGTTTGGTCGGCATGGATTTAGCGGGGCAAGGAATTGTGCATGTTGTTGGCTCATGCGGAGAATGTGGAAAAGATGGAAGAGATGGTGGCCACTCTTCATTAGGAACTATCAGATGTTTGGAAGAGATCCTTGATACTCCGGGCTCAAGTCAAGATGGATTGACTGGACCAGTTTTGGTATGAGGGAAAGTTTTGTATAAAAGGTTGCTTTGATTGGGTATGTCTGGATAGAAGTGGAGGTCGATCTCCTTATAAATTATTTTATCTCGAGCTAATTTTCAAGAATTATTTTATAATTTCAAGATTTTTTTTAGAAATTATTTTTCTGTCTCATTTTTTGTGTTGATGTGATCCCTTTGTCAGCGGATTTATAAAACCGTTGTAGAGTTCCATTTATATATCTATGTGATGACTCAACTTCCTCTATTTCTCTCTATATATAAATAACATGAGGTTGGTGATGTTACACTTACTCTTAACTTTTTCCTTTCTTATCATTCCCTCAATCCTATGTTCGTGCTTTGCTCAATGGCTCTGTGATATTATCTAAAATTCTTTGGGTTGGTCGTGCTAAACGATTAATCGTGGATGACTAAAGTATTACACGTTACTGTCGGACTCAGAGGAGGAGAGTGATGAGGACGACAACAGTTTGTTACATATGTGACCCACTCTCGGCCTTTTCTTGTAACATCGAGAAAATTTCATTTTTTTGAACATTTGTAAAAAAGATGTTAGAAAACTTTCCGTGGAATCTGAATTGACGGGGATCTTCCTACAATCATCAAGGAAAAAAATTATGATTTAGAACACCCTACCCGCGTCGTGTTCTAGGACGACCGTTGTCGACGATTTCCCCAATGACTGGCCGATCAAAATACTCATTTTTGAAGTTTCGAGACTATATTTCAGTCATACTTGATCCTCGTAGCTTACGGATTGAAGAAACCAGCCGTTGGTCGATCTATGTGAAAGTTAGGGTTTTCGGGCCAGACCATCACTTCGACACCAGTTTCGGGTGCTTAAGCGCCCAAAACTGCATTTCAGAGCATTTCCCGAGCCTTGGGAAAGTTTTCGCTAGACCAGGTGCCTAGTCGCTACAAAACATCCTTTTCCCGAGTAGCGGGAAAGTAGGCTCCATCCTGCTGGAGCCTAGATTCCAGAGGCTTGGTGCGAGGGCGATAGACTGGGCGCCAAGATCACAACTGCTAGGTGCTAGTCCAATTTCTGGGCGCGTTTTTTTTTTTTTGTTTTTGAGCTGTTTTGACCCTGATACTTCCCCTAATGCAGCTAAAATTTGATATATCATTGGCTAATGGGAAGATTACATGGGGGAGGGAAAAAGGGGGCTCATGATGCCATTTTGACTCTCTTTTGAGAAGCTTCCAAAAGGAGGGATCAGGCTAATGATAACAAGAAAAGAAGCAAGGGTCGTGAGCACTCATTGCACTCATTCTCCCTTGGTTTCTCTCAGACCAAGAGTTGTGTGCTTAGAGCAAGAGAGAGAGAGCTTGGAGCTTTTTTTGGAGAAAGCTTCTTGGAGCAAGGAGTTTAGGAAGGCTCTTCATCTTCATTAAGGAGAGAAGCCAAGGGGGTGGGTCTTCCAACTTCCAACTTCTTCCTCTTCAACTTCCCCATTCATCTCCTCCAGCGAGTCATTTGTTCTCCGGTGAACTTTCTGGGAGTTAAGGCTAGGGAAAGCCTCATCCTAGATTGGGAGAAGGTCATACGCCGGTGAAATCGTCATCTTCTCCTACAATGAAGTTTTTTTTATATATTATTTTTTTTATAAATTTTAATTACTAAATCATGTTTTGTATATTTTTTTTTTTGGGAAAATGAATCTAGAACCCTTGAGAAAACCAAAATTTCAAGTTATGGCAACTAATTGATCAAAACCTCACATTAGTAATGTTATCCACCATCTTCATGATAATTCGACAGTATATTTTAAATCTCCAAAGTTCAACTTAAATATGGTCAACATTAGAAAAGAAATTTCAATCATTAAATAGATCATCCAGAGTGATTCAACTGAGAAATGAGGTACATAATGTCACCACGAGGAGTAACATGATGTCACAATACTTAGCGACTATTAAAACATTGGTAGATAACATTGCTACTGCAGGTTTCACAATTGACACTGAAGACATTATACTCTATACATTGAATGAGCTACCACTTCAATATCAAGACTTCAAGACTGTCATATGCACACAACTGAACCCAATTAAACATGAAGATTCTTGCTACCTACTCCACAATGAGGAATTGAACCTGGACACTAAAACTACAAAACAACAACCCTTCATAGCATTATACACAACGAAAATAAAAACCCACACAACACGCAACCAACAAACAAACAGTCATAAATTCAACCCAAAGAACCCCAACAACCAGACCAAATACCATCCAAACAACCTCACATTGCCTTACTAATAGCCCATCCATTCAACCAAGCATTCACCTTAAAACTCACCACATGACTACTTGTCTTTAAACCTGATCCCTCAAACCTCATAACTTACTGAATCTGCAGTACACCACATAACCTCCTCTCATAGGCCAACAAGATTCCTCATCGGCGCTAAGTGATGTCACTCAAATTTTTAGCCCTTCAACAATAGGTCACGTGGACTCTAGTTCCCCCTCTACACAATAACATAATACTTGACAGTAAGTAGAGCTAAAAAAAAAGCTTCATTCCAATGGGACCATAGCAGAATACAAAGCACGTTCGGTTGCACAGGACTGTGCACAACAGTTGAGAAATGATTACAAACAAACATTTAATCTAGTAATAATGTTCTCCACTATTTGAATGCTCCTATCATTAGTAGCTGCAAAAAATTGGACGTTCAACAACTAGATGTATCAATTGATTTTCTTCACGAGAAATAAGAACATATAGTGTATATGGCACAACCACTGGGATTCAAAGACTCCCAACACCTAGATTTTTTATGTAAGCTCAACAAAGTCATCTATGGGCTAAAACAGACCCCACAATAATGGTATTCAACTTGCTGACAATGTATCTTTAGTCTCCACTTCACACTAAGTAAAACAAATCACTCTCTGTCATCTACACCAAAAACGCATTTACCATATTTCTCCTCATATACGTAGATGACATCCTCATCATCGACAAATCACCCAACTTCATTAACTTCCTTATCACCAAATTAGGCAACCAATTTCATGTTAAACAACTAGGGCCGGTTTCTCAATTTCTAGGACTTCAAATTCACCGCACAAGTCACGGCTAGTTTGTTGAACAAAGCCACTGTCTATTTGACATACTTCACAACATAAAAATGGCGCACTCTGATCTCGATATTTTTTATATGTAAGGATTTATGAAGTTGACACCACTACTTGAAGATTTTAATCTCCGGCAATGGCGCTAAAAACTTGATCCCGATATTTTTTATATGTAGAATTTATGAAGTTGACATCATTAGGCGCCAAAAACTTGATTCCAAGCAAAGTAATGTTTCAATTATATCTTTAAATAGTAGAGATTTTACACAAGTATACGTATCATTATCAAGTAATATATGACTTTTTGATTAAGCCCTGAATATCGATCCTACGGAGATCGAGATTAATCACGACAGCTTTCAAGAGTTATAGTCTAAAATAACACGCCCTAGCTTGGAAGGTTGATACATGTTTGGTTTTGATTATATCATACAATTATCACTACAATACTACTTCTACTGCTAAATTAAAATACTTAGCTAATCTACTGCTAAATTAAAATACTTAGTGAAAATCAGAAAGTGAAGTTTAATATATTAAAATACTATTTCTCATTCAATGAAATTAGTGACATGTGTAAAAGTAAAACAAGCAATGAGAGAGATTGTGACAAATATGAGCAATTAAATTTTTTACCTTTATTAGAGATGCTATAAAGAATATTGGTTAATCTAAAGTTTGAATAGTTTTGAAGACGGACCGACATAGAAGATACTAGCTCTCACTCTAGAGTTCTCTCTTATCCCTCCACTTGGAGATTAACATCTCGCATCAAAACATAAAACAATAGACTAAATTATCGGGATTTAAAATATCACTCTAAAGTCTTCTAATTCTACACCCATCAAAAGATTATTTTCCTATTTATTTGCACTCAACCTTTATTTGCACTCAACCATCATTCTCATCCATACAATCTCATGTGATTCTATCACAGTTGATTGAGACAACACCATCACGGATCTTACATGTTCTCCTAACAGATTTTAACATGCAAGTTGATTAAGTTTACATGTAAATGAAGAACAAAGTAAAATCATCACAATATATTTTCACTATACTCAATTCTATATCCTACACATGCATACTAATTCATTGTAAGAGGGAAGAGTAAAGAAAACAACTTACTACACATGAAGAAATAACAAGAACTTTTCATTGAACAAGACTTTGAAACCATACAAACAAAATACTAGATCAAAATCAAAATACAATGAAAATACTTATTTTTTATGGAAATCAAACTCTCCTTGTATAGCAAAATCAATATCCTTACAATCCTATCCAAGAACAAAGTGAAAAGAACAGAAGAAATCTCTCACTCTTTCTCTTTCTCTCTCACCTTGTCACCCCACTTGGGGCTCACGCCCAAGCCTTCTTCTTCTTCTCCTCTTCCAATTGATTCAATAGTTCAAGAGTCATTTTAAAAATATTTCCAAGATTTATTTATAATTTCTCAAGAGATTCTTATGTGTTTCTTCAAAAATGTCCATATTCATTGAATCTTCCAAATGGTGCCTCAAGTGCTTCTTCAAAACTCCTTATAACCGCCCCAAATCCTTCTAGAAAGTCTCTTGTATTATTTCCAACGAATTCCCCAAGAGACACACGAAGCAACGTTTCAAAAATCATCCAAATTCAATGTATTCTCTAGAAGTTATGTTGAAAATCGTTTTTAGCGCTTAAGCCCCATTTTTGGTCGCTTAAGTGTCATCCTCTCTGTCTGGGTGGCGCCTTTGTGCTATTTTGGGCGCTTAAGCGTCGGGTACAGACACTTAAGCCCCTGGTTTCGGCCCCTGTGGCTCTGGTGTGCTGCGATTCGACCTGATTTGCTCCGGTTTGCTCTGTTTTGGTCTATTTTTGTTCATTTTGCTCCAATCTCTCTAGATTCTTCAATTTGATGTACATACACCCAAAAACACAAGAAAACATACATTTAAAGTGCAATATCATTATAAAATATAGCATAAAAAATAGTATATTTTTAGGCACATCACACTCTAAACCAGCTCTTACACCACTTCCCTTTGCATCCAAACTCATCAATTCCAACTCCACTCCAGTTGACCCTCACAAATTTCAATAAACTATCGGTTCTCTACAATATCTCACAATTACAATACTTGACATCACATTCACAGTATATAATTTAAGCCAGCATATGCACAACCACCAACTACATCATCAACTTCTAGAGAGACTACTAAGATACCTCAATGACACAAGGAATCACAAATTACCAATTATCGCGGGCAGCATGCAACTTCGAGCCTACACAGGTGCAGATTGCTGCAGATCTTGAAGACAGATCAACTACAAGATTTTGCATCTTCCTTAGCCCCAACCTTATCTTCTAGTCAGCCAAAAAACAACCAACTGTTGCCCGTTCTTCCACCAAAGCAGAATATAGGGCTATGACATCAGTCACCATAATATTCTATGGCTTAGATGAATACTGTGTGAAATGCTACAAAAATAACTTCCTCCCACTCCCCTTTTCAATGCCATCACCTCAGACATCGTTCTAGCACACAATCCTCTATTTCATGCCCGAACGAAGCATATCGAGGTAGGCTACCACTTTATAAGGGGCCACATCCAACATGTAGAAATCTTCCTCAACCATATCATGTCCCAAGATTAGATTGTTGATATCTTCACCAAATCACTACCTTCAACACGTCTTCACTTCTAGCCAACAATCTGACATTGCACAACCGGGAGAGTCTTAGTTTGAAATGGGCAAAAGGGGGTTGTTTACCCGGTCCCCACAAATCCAAGACAATCACTACCTGTGACAGAAAGCTCGCTCCCACCATTATTTTCCAACCGCGCTATCACAAGTGATTCCCGCTATTTTTTACTGTAGCAAGAGGGCGATCTCTCTCTCGGGATACCTATATAAAATGTGGTGCATGAGGCTAGGTTAGGTAAGAGAGAAAGGGGAAGGAATGTGTGTGATCTATAGAAATAGAGTAATAAAAAGGATGGGGAGCATTTAGCTTTCTTTTTGACAGGGTTGAGAAGGCCTTCGGTCTTTCCTATTACTATGAAATCTGATGAACCCCACCCAAAGCAGATGATGGAGGTCCGTCAGTGTTTTCTATTACTATGAAATCTGATACCCACCACCCAAAGCAGTTGATGGAGGTGACGATTCACATCAACAGACGTCGAGATTGGAGAGCCAGATGGGGGTCAATGACATGGAGAAATATTAGTGCGGTTTTTTTATTAGGCTGATCCGGACCTTTATCAGAATATACGTGCACCACATGTAATATCACCTCCAACGGCCTGGGGAGAGCTGGGGGTACTAAAGTGAAGCTAACGACAGGTGCACGGTGAGCAACAAAGGCAGGCAAATGGTGCGGAGAAATAACATAGAATGTCTAATTCGAAAGTGAAAAAAAGTCTGAGGTGGTAGACAAGTAACAACCCGAGATGCAGGAAAATGTGATCTCACTTTGTTATTCATGATCGTTGTAACCATTAGTTAGAGGGACTAAACCAAAATGATGATATATTTGGTGTTGTTTATAAATTTTCGGTGTTTGAAATATAAATATGAAACTTTGGAGGATAGATATTTACAATTGATATGTTTAGAATGATATGTGTGTAAATCGCTCATAAATAAAATATTTCGCTATAATTTTTAATTAATTTATTTATTGATGCAAGTTTTTCAACTAAAATTATGTAAATATTAATTAATATCTAAATTATTTAGTTTGTTGAAGTATATTTAGTATTTTTAAATTATGTACATAATTACTGATCAATTTTTGCATTCTCTTGACATATGAAATTTAATCAGAAGAAAATACTTTTAAAAATCAATTAATGATGCAAATTTTTTTAGTATGTTTTATGAAAAAGTACTAATATGTAAATAGACTATAGATATAAGATAGAAGAATTATTGAATTAAATAATTATAGCATTTTGATATCAAAATTGATCAACGATCATGAATGCATAATAAACTGTTAAATGAGAGTTGTTCGATTTGCTAAAAAGAAATATGCCATAGATGGAATTCAATGTAATTGAAATATAATATATTTGTGTATGGTCCCAAGAAACCTAGCCCACCAAGCAGATCAAGTATGGACAATCAAGCTCGGGCAGCCGTGTATCAATCATTAGTAGTCTGATATGAACGGTCGAGTATGAATGATCGACTACTAATCATTGGACATAAATCTTAATGATCATGAGAAACCAAATATTGGCCGACTCACGGCTAATGCCATTCTGATAAACCATCTGACAACTTCTCCAAATCACCAAATTAAATGCCACCCCAAAGAGCTCAAGATGGGTTCAAGTTACCCTAAGATTTAGTATAATTTTTCTTTCTCAGCCAACTCTATCATTGAGCCGCAAAGTCACAGAGAAAACATGATTCAATAATCTCAAGTAGTTTGAAGTTCTCTGATTTACTATAAAATACATATAAAAGTCTGTTTTTCAAGTATTTGATTTAAAAAAAAAAAAAAACATAATTTATGAGGCCATTTAATACCTTTATAGCTGAACCACTTCACAATACCAACAAAGTAATATGCAGAATATATAAATGTTCATGAATAATCATCGAACCAAAAAAAGAACTGATTATGAAAAATCTTTGATCCAGAAGAAAAAATACTGCATTCCCATAACCATCATGTCTGCAACCTGCACGCACCATGCATGATCAATAATAATACTGGGCAATTATTACACTATAAAATAATACCTTAATCTTTATTCAAATAAAACCTATCTTTCCCTTAAAAAAAAAAAAATTAGAAAAAAATTCGTGTCCATCACCTAATCCACGATCCAAAAAGCTTTATCGGCTTCTTCTCCTCACACTTCCATCAACTCCTTCGAATCCCCCTACTTCTCACCCGACCCAGACGGCCTATCAATATCTCCTCCAACCTCCGCAGGCTCTTCAGCCACATCCTCGTGCTCACTTTTGACAGAAAAAATCATGTCAATCAAATAAAAATGTTTTCTAACCGAATTTTCCAACTCCGTGCATCGATAGAAAACAACAGAGTCATCAGCACGAAGCTTCATCGCCTTCACAAACCTGCTCCAACCCGTAGTGAACACATAACTCTGACAACTCTTCGAGTAACCATATTGAAAGACCCATGTTACGCGACCCAGGTTTGTAAACTCTAGTGGTATTTCGATTGAATCTGGCTTCAGCTGCGGAAAGTGCTGCATGGCCGCCTCCCGAGGCAAAGTCAATATACTTCGATCATCGACATCACTAGAAGTCAAGACTTTATGAAACATTTCTCTAATCCAGACATTGTCGAGGGCGTCAGTGCGATCAGGCAAGCGAATCCAGTCACGGTCATCGGGGATAGAGAGTAAATTTCGAACGAACTCGACGAACTTTGTCTCGTAGACGCCATCCCTGAGCATGTCGAGGACGGCATCGAAGGTGAACATGGCCTGAAATTGAGGTTCGTAAATTGTAACGTTGG